TTCATTGTATGTGCAAGCACACATGCAATGAAAACCAACCACAGATTTCAGCAAGTTTTTGCTGCGCAAGAACAGGGCAACAATATTTTTTTATATATCCAATTTGTACTCCAAATCGCAATTAACATGAAAGAGGCAATATTTTTTTCACTATTGTGATAACCTCTTACTAAGTTTTATAAAGGCTGTCTCTACACTCCATGCTTTTTGCATTTGAGGTGCTGTTTTAGCCTTGAACCACCCTACCTCTAAGTTGTTTTGTCCCTTTCAGATGTTGGAGCTTATCCAGCGTTGCACAGCACACATGCAGGCCACTCTGCTGAATCACACCTTGCTGTACAAGGTTCGTTCTCCGAGAGACCTTGTATACAACCCTTCCAGGTTTGGGGGCATCACACAAGGGTAAGTGGTTTGGTACATTTTTCTCCCTTTCTCATAATACCAGAACTTCCATTATTAACAGGCTTCTAAATAGGTGCTTCATAATTGTAATTCTTCTGACCTTTGTGTGATCATGTTCTTTCATTTGAGGAAGCCACAAAATGTGTATCTATGGCTCTCTTCCACTTGCATTAAAAAGGTATTTAATTTATTTTGTTTATAGTCTTTCTCACTGAGACTCAAGGCAGATTACACAGTATGAGTCAATGCAATCAACAGGATGTGACATCAATAACCAGTGCAATAGGATTTGGGCTGCAGAAATATGAAACAGCTGAAACAAAGCATAAGCATTAATATGACAAGTTAAATGATGCAGAAATTATGTAGTAGGATCCTACTTAGAGCAACAAAAACATGTACGGTGCTCAGTACACTCCACAGTTCCTGAATAATTCAGTTTTGCCTAGTTTGCAGAATGCCGAGAGAGTGGAAGCCTTCCTGACCTCATCAGGCAGGCCATTCCGAAGGGGGAGGGGGAGACAAAGAATGCACATGTATGGGCAGTTTTTGATCTTGCCCATTTGCATGGTGGCACCTGCAGAAGGCCCTGCTCAGACAAGGGAAGCTGTCAGGGCAGAGCAAAGAGGGACAGAGGGTCCTGTAGATGTGAGGAAACAAGGTAAGGAAAGGCTTTGTATTTGATAGCCGATACCCTGAATTGAACCTGGTAGCTTGATGGCAGCCAATGGAGTGACTGCAGAATGGGAGTGTGAAGAAGACTGGTTCTCTAAAATTTCTTGTCTGTTTCAAAGTTTGGTTCAGGTTGAGTTGCGGCCTACTTGTGAGTCATTAGAATTCAGAAACAACTTGCTAAGCCAGAGGAAGCTGACCTTGTGAAACTGCAGATAAACACCCAGCTGCAAAGGGGAGTCAAGGAGCCCAGTACAAGTTTCCAAGTAGTCACATTCCATTCAGTTAAGGTCTGTGATTTGCACCTGTGGGAAAGGGCCAACCTAGCTGCAGACAGTTTCAGTTCTCACCCCCCCCCCCAGGTCAGACCACCACTTAGGTAATCTGCTTAGCCATTGGCCTCGTGAATTGGCTATACATCACCACCTAGGGTCCCTGTTGGTCTTTTAGGCCTGAGACCATTTATTTATTTATTTATTTATTTAATTCAATTTAGACCCCGCCCTCCCCGCTATGCGGGCTTAGGGCCCCTTGGCCATAAAGAAGTAGGTTTCTAGTCTGTTCCTTAGCTTGATGGTGACTGTCTGAGATCCTGACATGCAGTCATCATTTCACTCACAGCAGCCATCTTGAATGTTGCTTGTGTGAGCCAGGCAGCTCCTGGCTATGCTGACTCTGGAGAAAGCCAATTTGGATTATTGGAACTTTCTACTGAGAATGGGGTAACATCTGATATTTGGAACCAATGTATTACTGTTCTAGTTAGCTTTTGAATTTCTAGCTTTCTTGTCTTATCCTCACAGTTCTTGTGTGCACCTTAATAAAATATGTATTTTAATTTACTCTTGTGGTTATTTGCCCTTTGAAAGGTGTAGTGTATCAGGCCCCGACAGGGCCGGGCATGCATGGGCTTGTCCAGGCACAAACACCTCAAGCTTCATGCCAAAAGACAATGGGCCAGTAGGATCCTAGCCAGGCCCAATGAAAGGGCTAGGTCCCAGGCCAGGAGGCCAATAGGTCTCTTGGTCACTCACTGTAAATAGCCTATCGGGAGTGGGGTGTGTGTTTGGTGGTGGGTTTCTCTGAGGGAATATAAGCTGGCCTGCGAGCCAGTTAACTTGTCTTTGTTCCTGACTAAATAAAGGTTTGCTTAGCTGAAATCACTCTCCGTATGCATACTTTTCAAAAAGTATGCAAACGGTGAGTGATTTCAGCAAAGCGTACTTTATTCTATCTAGAACAAGACTACTTTGGCCGGCTCGCAGGCCGGTTTATATCCCCCGAGAAACCGCCACCCAAAACACACTCCTACTTCCCTATAGGTTATTTACAGTGACTGAGAGTCCCATAGGCTCTCGGCCAGGAACCTAGCCCCCTGATTGGAGCAGGCTAGGATCCGCATAGTCCATTGTCTCTTGGGGCGAAGCTCGACGTTTGTCTCTGGACTTGTCTGGACTGGATACATTACACCCTTAAATGACCTCAGTCTAGATCCAGAGCCTAGACTGTCTGACCACCTACCAGAGTAATTGCTTTTGTGAGAAACTCATTCTGCAAGCTTGCCTTGCAGGGCTGACTTTCTTATTTAGTCCCGGTAAGGTTGGAAGCTTGCCCTTCGGCTTCTAATCATTGGGATAGTCTAAAGGGTTGGTGGCTGACTACCAGGCTGGTGTGTGAGGAGTCACACCCCAGGGTTTGTAATTTTGTGCTCTGCAGCCCTTAAACAAAGAGTTTTGGCCCTGGACAGGACTAGGACTCTTTGACAGGGAATAATATGCATGTTCCACCTAGCCCCTTATAATAACTGGATTGCAGCATCCTGTACCTGTGTAGAGTGCATTACAGTAGTTTAGTCTTGATGTTACTGTGCCATGGAGCCAGATGGCCAGAGGTAGGGCACCATCTTCCAGGGAAGACTAAGTTGGAAGAAAGCATTTTTTGCAGCTGCATTAACTTGATTCTCCAGCAGTAAGGTTGGATCCAGTATAAACCCTAGGCTCTTAACAGAAATAGCAAGGGTCAGCTGAACCCAATTGAAAGTGAGGAGCTCGATGTCCTTCAAAATCTTTGCCTTTTCAACCAGCATTATGTCTGTCTTGTCAGGATTTAGTTTGAGTTTGTTCATTGTTAGCCATTTTAACCCTAGCAGACAGGCAGTGATTTAGGCCTTCTCCTGCATCGAGGAGATTTGGGTTTGGAGACACAGAGCTGGGTGTCATCAATGTATTTTTACTTCTGTTGGGATATATTTATATTCAGCATTTTGGATTTCAAATTACGTAGCTAATCTGTTTTACATATACACTTTTGGTTTCTTCTTTAATATTCGGTATTATATATTTTTGCCACCTCTACCTACTCATCGTTAACTTTTAACAATAAATAATATATCAGTGCAGGGAAAAAATCTGTTATTTATCTCATAATAAGAAGGCAGAAGATATTTCTGCTCAGGATCCAATTCTTTATACATTTATGTTCAAGATGTTACATTTAAAACTTACTCTCTTCCCACTTCTACATTTCAATATATTTGTATACAAATTTTTGAAGTACTTCTCATTCTAAATTTGTCTCCTGCTTGCATAATCCACACTCCATCTGTCCTCAAATTTCATGATTGATTTATTTCTCAGATAAGTTGTTCATTTTGCCATTACTGCATATTCAGCAAGTTTATTTTCCCATTCTTCTAGGCAGAGGCAGACATCTAGTTTCCATTTTGCTGCATAGATAGTTCTAGCTGCTGTTACCATGTATACCTAACAGCATATTCTTAGCATCCATAGAAAATTTAAATTTTAATGTTCTGCATTTTCCCATGTATTTTCTTCCAGTATTTTGCTTTTTTACAAGTCCACCATATATGAAAAAAGTTCCATCTGTGTCTTGGCATTTCCAATATTTTCCTTTGTAATTTTTGTTTGTTTTCTCAATGTCCTTTGGGGCTATATACCATCTAAAAACATTTTGTACCAATTTTCCCTTAATGCCTGGCTGACTGTAAACTTGATTTCTTTTTCCCATAAGCATTTCCATTGTTCCATAGATATCTGCTCTCTAAAATTCTGCATCCGTTTGATCATGCAGTGTCATTCTTGTACTGGTAACAGTGGACCCCAAAACTATGACTGATTTGTTCTAAAAGCTTTATATAGAGATTAAAAAGTATGGGGGGAGGGTGGGATTGCTTTCTGTGGAACCCCAGAGGGCAGGTCCCACACTGATGATAACAGGAACTCTTTGAGTCCGGTCTGTGGGTGCGGTCAGACGGTGTACTGAGAGCCGGTTAAACTGCTCCGGTTCTAACCAGATTATATTTGATCAGGATAATCGTGATCACACTTACCTCCCTTATCTTGCTTTACCACGCGGGATCGCATGTTGACGGGTTTTTAAATTTCCCCCCTCAGTTTGTGCATGCGGATAGGCGCCCCTCCGTAAAAGGGGGGGAAATGATCATGGCGCATCCAACCCCTCCAACAAGAGACTTCCATTTAAACGTTTGACCTGAAAATGGCCTCTGTGAGATCTCGAACTCATCTAAACTCTAAAACAACTGACCGTTTAAATGTCGGTTTTCTAAACATGGTGGCGGAGCTCCAGCTATGTGCACACCGCCAAAGCATTAAAAAAATGGCAGGCGAAAAGCGGAAGCCTCAGGCAGCTTTCGAGCGGGGAGGGGGGTTAAACTGGAAGTGGCTCGCCAACGCCGGGGGGGTCAGACGGCCAAAAAGTGTGGCTAGAACCGGAGAATCAGGAAAACACCACTTGGGGACCTGGTAGCAAAAGGGGTTTTGATCCGGAAACCGACAGCTGGTGACGGTGCGCAGATGTTGGGTGTGTGAACGTGCAGATAAAATCTGTTGCGGAACCGTCACGACACCAGATCAAACGGCGCGTCTGACCGCACCCTGTGAGGAACTATTTAAACCAGTCCAGGGTACGTCCCCTGACAACTGCTTCTGCCTCCAAATGCCTCAACAGGATGGCATGGCACACTGTGTCAAAGGTGGCAGATAAATCCAGTAGGAGCAACAAGGAAGCATGGACTTTGTCTGTGTTCCGATGGAGGCCATTAACCAAAGCTACCAAGGCTGTCTCTTTCCTGCAGCCCACCTGAAGCCAGACTGAAAAGGATTTAAAGCAGACGAGTTATCCAAGAATACCTGTAGTTAGTCCACTACTGCTCTGTCATGACATAATACTGCATCCACCTCAAGAGGTGCTGTTAAGTGATCTCCACGCCTGGGAGGAGAGAATGGAGATCCTCGGCTTGCTTCCCACAATTAGAAGAGACACCTTTAGACATTTATCTGCTATTCGGACATATGTATTTCTTTACAACTGTTGACCATATAACCTTAGCTTGTTATTTTTGTCTTTGCATATCTTACACCATCATGTTACATGTTAATTTCCCTGTCTGTAAGTTTGAGCCTTACCCACCATTCCAATGTATTTGAAAAAGTGTGCGTGGACACGAAAGCTCATACCTTGAGTAAACCTTTATTGGTCTTAAAGGTGCCCCACTGGACTCTAAATTTGTTCTACAGCTCTGTCAGGCACTTTGTCTAGAAGGGGCAGATTAGAGACTGGGCAGGCCTTGGCTAGTATGTGTTCAGGCTTCAAAACCCTTCCTTCCCTTTTTGGGAGCAGGAGGGGAAAGGGGCAAGTGGATTGGAAACCAGCATGAACTGCTTGGATTAAAGTCAGTACATGATAATGGTTTTTCTCAAGGTCTTCTCCCTGTCTGAGGCTCTAACCTTTTTGCACCTGTGGACACCTTTGGAATTCTGACATGGCATGGTGGGCGCATAAAATGGCTGCCATAAAATGGCTGCCCCGGGAGGCATAGCCAGCCACAAAATGATTGCCATAGATTTACTTCAGTCACACAGTGAAGATTCTTGAGCTGTGGTTGCAGCTCCTACCATAGCAACATTTTTAAAAATCTGCCCAGCCAATCAGAAGCCTTTGCTGGGCAAAAGCCCTACCTGGCCCCTCCCACTTCTTAAAAACACTTGGTGGGCACCAGAAAAGATGTTGGCGGGCACCATGGTGCCCATAGTTACCACGTTGGGGACCCCTGCTCTAACAGAACTTATTTATGTACTACCTCTCCAGAAACCTGCTCGAGGTGGCTTGCAATTAGTAAAATAAAATAGTTAAAACAAAACCATTAAAACCGAAGCCATTGAAATACAGATGAACACCCTCAAAGTGCAACCCATGAAAAACAGGCCAATGCCATTAGAACAAGTCAGGGTATAAAACAGCATAGACTACATATGGAGCAGCCTAGAGTGATTTTGTTAGAATGAGCCTTGGGCCAGAAGCCTGGTGGTAAAAAGGCTAAAAAGGAACGTTTTAATCTGGCACTTAAAAGAAAGTAAGGTAGATGTTAGGCGAGTCTCGCAGGGCAGGTCATTCTAAAGCTGAGGTGATACAACCAAAAAGGGCCCTTTCTCTGGTTGCCACCTGCTTTACCTTTGAAGGCTGGGGAACTGGGCCTTCAGAAGATCTTAACTGGCAGGCTGGACAATATGAGTGGAGGTGGTCCTTGACTAACACTGAGCTGCAAAGCTTACCCCAAATGTCTTATGCTGAGTTATAAATTCGATCCATATAGCCTGTTAGGAACTTGTGTCTGGCTCCGAATTCTCCCTGCCCCAGCTGCACAAGCCATGGACAGCTGGAGGCCCTGCTCACCTTATCTTGGAAAGCCAGGGAAGGAAGACAGGCAAGATCCGGGCAGAGAGTTCCTATCTGACTGGAGACAAGACGGGGAGTCAGGAGGAGATGGGGGGGGGGGAACCACAGCAGCCAGGGACCAGTCATTGATCTTACGATGGGTGAGCCAAGGCTTTTAAGGTAGGAAAGAGGCAGAGCAAGGACTGTGGGGAAGATGAGGGTGGCTGTGGCTGTGGCAACAGCCAGGTGCTTCAGTGGCCCAGCTGCAGCAATGGAGCAGGAGGAGAGGAGCCTGGCCAGCCCAGCGGGGGGCGAGGGGTGAAGCCCGGAGGCAGGTCTGAGACTCCCCTGAGCCATAAAGGGAGGAGCAGGTCAGGGAGGCAGGCAGCATAGGGAAGAGGTGGGGTCTCTTCCTTTTTCTTTTATAGCCTTCCAGGTAGAACATGTGGGAAGGGAATTTCATCCAGATTGGGGGGGGGCACAAAGCCCCCCTGGGAGGTTTCCACAGCTGGCTGGAGGAGGAAAAGGGGCTGACTTTACAGTGGGGGAGAGAGAGGGCCAGAGCGAGTTGGTCCGGATAAGGATGAGGACTAGGGTCCTAGAAGAACCCCCTCTCCTTCCCAGTTCTGAGGCCGGTATCAGGGCTCCATTCTCACCCCCTTCTCAGTGGGACAGTGGAGGGTGGGGAACCCATCTTGGGGTCAGGGGTACCTAACGCAAGTCTGGCATTGACCTTCTAGGGTGTCGAGCAGCTGAAGGCCTTTTCTTTTTTTCTTTTAATTCACATCGTGTTCATTGGGACCCAGCCTGCATCTGGCCATCCATGGTACTGGGTCCCCTTAGCTGTAAGTGATTTGGAGGTATCTGGCCCACTTCAGCAGGCATCTGGTGATGCCTGTTCTGGGCTTGTCAACTGCCTATATGGAAGACTATCTGCTGATTACATGTGAACTGCTCTGAGGTCTTCAGTTTATTTGTGGGGTGGAAGTGTGATAATGAAACAGGTGCAATTAAAGGCCCTGTTGACATATGAACGATAGTGATGGATTGGCCTCCTACTCTAGATTGGATGCAATCGAAACTTAAATGGTGACTTTCTCTTCTCTTGTGCACCCAGAACCTAGTTGCACACACTTCTCTTTATTTTTTTACCTGGGCAGGGGGGTAGAGCTCAAGAGACATATTTCAAAAGCAATAGATCCTTAAATCACGTGCCTTTCTCTCCAAGATGATGTTGAGAGTGACAAATTTCCTCAAAGTTGTCTGCCAGAAGAGCAGTCCCTGATGCTTTGCTTTTTCGTTTTTGCCCTTCAGAAGGGACCACAGCCCACTGGGAAGATTTCTGAAAGGTTCGAACAGTTCTGAAAAGTGCAAACAGTTTGGGCGAATTTTCAGCTTTGGCTTTGGGAAGGTAAGCTGTTGAAATACAAAATACAGACAAGGTCCCACTTTCCTTGATCAAGATGAAGAAAAATTCAGTCATTAACTAAAATCAGTATCATAGTGCTATCATATATCCCCTTGGCATATGGATTGTCAACTGGTGGGTGTCAAACATAATCTGACTGGCTTAAGGCCACCAGCTGGCCTTCACCAGAGTGTTCCCACTACCACCACTGCTTCTTTCTGTTAAGGGAAAGCCCCAGCATTAGAAATGGCTGACCTTGGATGGGAAGGGAAGTAGAAATCTACAACATAATTGGGACTGTTGGGCAATTACTCCTGTGTCATTTTTTCATCTTGTATACCTTGAAGACAGTTGGAAATTATGAGCCTCACATTGCTGTCCTCCATTCCCTCCATCTGAAGTTGCATTAAGATCTCTTTGTCTTTCTGTCTGTTCCATCTCAGTTTTATCTCACTGGCAGCAAACAATTGGGCTATCTATCATCACTCCCACTCATTACAGAAAAAGAACTGTTCCAGGCTGACGATGAACGGACCTTCTCATTTCCTGGTGGGCCATACATGATTATGACCAAGTAAGTTCTTATAGAAGATGGGTTTGTACTCTTACATCCTAAATGCAACTCTCTAAATCAAGCAGTTTGTTCTCCCTTGTTGCCCATAATCCCTATTTTACTATCTTTCTCCTTGAAAGAAGCTGCCCAGAGTGTTGAACTGTCTTATATTTATTCAGCTCTGGAATTGATAATGCTAGATGGCATGCCCTCTAATTTTTGTTTTCTTCAACCTTTGAACTTGCATAGATGTGGATTTTTACATAGATATTGCAAGTATTTTCTCTTTCAGAGTAAAATGTACAGGCGGCCTCTGAACTTCATATTTCTTGGGAGACCAGGGACTGAATCCCTGACAAACTATCTGAGAGTGAAAATAAACTTAAAAGTATTATTGATGCAGATTGTGTGCTTGGTAGTCTGTTTAAATTTTACAGCTGAATATTAACAATGGGGGCAGAGAGCAGGGCCAACAAGAGTGACTTCACAATCCAGAAAGGTTTTTCCCCTGATCTTTTTGGTGAGTGCCACTTATCCTCTGTCTTCCTCAGTTTGATGTGGGGCGTGACCCGGGTAACAGTGAAGGAGCTGAATCTAAAACCCCATCGGAACTGCAGCAAGCAGCACCTGGCTGACCTGCTGCTTGCAGAAAAGGAGTATAGCAGGTATGCATCAGCCTATGGAGTAATAGTCACTAGTCAGTGCAGTGGCTAGACGGGGTGTGTGCGTGCGCACAAGTGTGCCACGAGAGAACAGTTTCTGTACTATGAGAAATGGGGGGGGGGTGCGCTACCAACTTGTTGCAGCCCTGTTGCTTCAAGAAAAAAAAATCCCAGTTCCATTTTTGCTTCCCTCCTGTGTAAACGGAACTCTTTGGGTCTTTATTTTTGAGCCATCTTCTCAAACCAGTTCCCCCCTTTTAAATGTAGACATTTTTCAGTGTTTCTTGTGTTATCAGTTATGTGCTTATACCATTAAAATGACATCAAAAGAATAATCAACAGCACTGAAAATGAGGAAGACTCCAATCAGTGGCAGCGACGATCAAAATGGAGATGGACTCATCAGCTTATCCTGATTTTCCTGACTGGCTACATTGGCTCCAGTGCAGCCTCCTGTCCAGGCATTGACCATCTTGAGGCTTGTTTAGCTTTTTGATATCCTACCAGCTTTATATCCCCTGAGACTTTGATCAAAGCCAGATGGTAGAGAGGGAAGCCAGAAGTCTAGTGGCTGACCAGAGAATATGTCCTGAGGGGAAATTTGGTTTCTCTTTTTTTCTAGGATAAACATCTGTGAAGCTGAAAATGTATTTTCTGTGTAATCTGACCTTCTTTCATATTTGGGGGTATTTTATCACCTCTGCAGTAAACTCCGTCACCCGCATTTGCTGCTGTTGATGGCTGAGTGCTTGTCCAGTGACTTGGAGAGAACCCGATTAGTGTATGAGAGAGTTAACTTTGGCTCGCTCTACAGCATCCTTCATGAGAGGGTAATGCCTCCATTTTGTTTTCCTCAGAGTATTGACAGCACCGCCTGTGCTCGGTCAGATCCCTGGAGCCCATTTCGTTTTGTTCTGCTTTTTAAAATTCTGATTGTTAAAATACTTACACCTTTACATTCTTATTATTCACAGGCGGCTTGTAGCAGAAAAAACAATGCAAGTAATACGATTTAAATATAGCAAGCTGGGGGCTGGGAGGGATTGTTGGAAGGAGATCTGGACATCTTTCTCCACTCCCCAAATCCCTCCATCAGGGATTGTTCAGGGTATTCTGTCATTCCAAATAAGGGTGCATCCATCCCCTCCTGGGCCCGCAAATGTTGCGGCATGGGCCCAGAAGGATAGGTCAGTCACCTGATAGCTGGGAGTAAGCTGACCCACGAGGGTGCATTGGTGCCTGCCTCACTGCACTGCCTCCAGCAGTTACATTGGGTCGGCTTGGCTTTAGAACTGGCCCTGCTGTCCATCTTGTTCACCTGAGCTTTGAATAACAACTGAGATGGTTCTTGTTTCTATATGCTTTTGATTCTCATGTTTTTACTGTATGTACACAAAAGGAAGGAATCCTGGATGTAAGACAACCTCCTCCCCCAAAAGGCTAAAATTAAAAAATATAGTTCCGAATTTAAGATGAGTCTACTCTCTGCAAACAGCTGGTGAGCCAGCTGGTGGAGGGGGGGGGGTGCTGCCCTCTGCTTCTGCACCTTCTGGGGGCTGATTGCTGTTCTGTCTGCCCTTGCATCTCCTGGCTGGTGCAAGAAAGCTCCTAGGTGACAAAGGGCAGCACTCCCCTCCATGTATATACGTGAATGGAAGACCCTCCCCCATATTTTCTGCAAAGCCAAAAGGGGATCATCTTACTTTTGGGTAGATACAGTAGTTGTTTCAGTAGTATTTAATTGTTTTAAAACGGAATTTCTTTGCTGCCTTGAAGGCCAAGCTGGTCGAAAGGCAGGGAAGGTATTTTAAAAGTACAAATATTTATATTGTATTTCCAGTGTTTAAAGCACTTCATAGCTTTTATCATAGCGATCCTTAAACGAGACTGTAAGTTAGGCTCTTATTATTAGCTTCCCCATATGGTGGATGGGGAGACTGAAGTGGGGAGAAAAAGTGAGTGGCTTGCCTAACACTGCCTGATTTGTTTCTGGCTGAGTGAAGACTTGAACCCGTATTGCCCCTTCTCTTGGCCATTACACTACACCAGCTCCTTAATCTGAATAAATAGATTTTTAAAAAGCCTAGTGCAGCTGAGAAAGCCGTATATTACCCCATGAATTTCTAAGCCATTCTTTCTTAGTGGATGTACAAGTCAGCTCCACCCATCCGCACCCAGAAGAAGAGCTAGCTATGCCAATCTTCAGTCTGTCCTCCATTCGTTTAACTGAGAATAATGAGCGTCAACTACCAGTTACCACTGTAACTCTCTTTCCTTGCCTCTAGCGCTCAGAGTTTCCAATTGTGCACGCTGAAACGATTGTGCACTTGCTGCTCCAGGTGATTGAGGCCTTGCAGTTCCTGCACATACATGGTTTCGTCCACCGAACAGTCAGCTCCTACGCCATAATGGTTGTAATGACTGGTGAAGCCCGACTCACCAACTTGGAGTACATGATTGAAAGGTTTGAGCCCCATACTTACTGAACTGCTAACACATTATGATGAGGAGGTATGGATGTGTGTGGATGAAGGGCTTGTAGATTGCAAGGGCCCTTGGGCGCAGTGCATCCCTGTGGAACCTTCTGTGCGGTAGGCAAACAAATATGGTCCTCATTGTATGGCCAGTTTGGTGTAGTGGTTAAGTGCGCGGACTCTAATCTGGGAGAACTGGGTTTGATTCCCCACTCCTCCACTTGCACCTGCTGGATGACCTTGGGCAAGCCGTAGTTCTGGCACAGCTGTTCTTGAAAAAGAGCAGTGTCTGTCAGAGCTCTCTCAGCCGCACCTACCTCACAGGGAAAGGAGTTTGTAAGCTGCTCTGAGACACCTTTGGATAGTGAAGCGTGGGGTATAAATCCAATCTCTTCTCTTCTTTTTCCCATATGATATATGGAAAAATTAACTTACATGGGAGAAAGTCAGGGGAGGACACTCAAGACCACTAGTGGAGTAGGGGCTATACTTGCTTTTTGCTGCCCCCAGCTGTTAAGAATCTAATCTGCGTATTCATCCCTACTCCTTCATCTGGATAGACCCATCCTGGGTTCTTTTTATTGGTAACATTGAAGTGTGGTAGCATGTTGGGAACTAGTTTTTATGCGGTGAGGGATGGGGAACGCTCTTCTGCTGCTGTATCTGCCTTGGTCCCAGGAGTTCTGAAGCCCAGACTGTGCTGTTTGGCCACTGTGTGCTGCCCCCTCCTCCCTGACTGCAGTTCCAAGGCTGTTGGCTGAGGTCTAGAATGGCTTCTCCTTAGCCATTTGCCTCTGTCTCTTAAAATGGTGTCTGGGAAATTGTCCATGGACCCTGAAATTCGGGGGCTTCTAATGAGTCATTTGGATCATCTGCCTGTTTCCTAGGCCAGTGTACCTCAACATTCTACTAGTCAGAGCTTCCTGGGTGTTTGGGTGGCTCTGTAGCTCAGCAGTTGCGTCTAGGAGAGCAGCACCCAGTCTTCCTCCCTCATTTCCAGTGTTTGGGGCTCCTGGAGATATATGAATAACAGAGGGCATATGTGGTCAATATGTCCTCCGCACATCAAGCTCCTTGGCCTTCTGTTTCCGGCAGCAAGGATGGTGGAGAACTCAGCAACCTGACCCGGGTGCCCATCTCCTCTCAGCTGTTCAGATGGTGTTCACCAGAAGTGATCCTTGAAAAGTCTGCTACGGCCAAATCAGACATCTACAGCTTCTGTGCTGTGATGCAGGAGGCGCTCACAGGTACGCTTAAGGAGGCAGAATGTTAGGAAAGTGGTCACATGATATGGGAGCCTTGCCAGGAGCTAAGCAGGTCAGGATGTAGACAGAATTTGGCTGGGAGACCACCTGGGAACTCTTCCATGTATACCATCTTGAATCTCACACTGGAAGAAGGCAGGATATCAATGTAGTAAATAAATACCCACCCTCAGAATGGCGGCATTTCCTGCAGCATCTCTACATTCTGACTCCCCATGGCACATTTGTTTGTCTTTCTCTAGACATCTCCACAATACATTCAACAATCCTTCTCCAGACATCCTTAGTTCTCATCTTTCTTTGCCAAAACCCTAACCTTCTCCCTGTTTAAAATCTTGTTCTGAGATGCTGAATGAATCCAATCAGTAAACAAACACTTACATGACTGCATGTTTTCTGTAATCCATTTGGATTACACAGCATGCACTATTATAGCTATTGTTGTGAATTCTGGCTGACCATCCTGTTACGTAATGAGAGCCTTACCAGATCAGACTTGTGGTTCTGCAGCGGCTAGCCAGGTGCCTCTGGGAAGTCTGCAGACAGAGTAGTGGCCTGCCCCTTCTGTTGCCCCTCAGCAACTCGCACTGACTCTGCTCCTGATCATGGAGGTTTCCTTTAGCCATTACCGCAAACAGACAGTGATGGACTTTTTCTCCATGAATTTGTCAAGTTCTCTTTTAAAGTCATCTAATTTAGAGGCCATTACTACATCTTGTAACAGTGAATTCTGTGTTAATTATGCATTGTGTGATAAGTACTTTCTTTTGGTTTCTCCTAAAACTGTTGCCCAGCAACTTCACTGGGTGACTCCAAGTACTAGAATTAGAGGAGGGGGAGAGAAAATTCTCTCTACCCTTCCACCCCATTTTATAAACCTCTTGTGTCCCCCATCCCTTAGTTCTAAACTGAAAATCCCCCAATTATTTTGTCTTTCCTTGAAGGGACATTGCTACAGTCCCAGGATTTGTTTGTTTGCTTTGTTTTTGCACTTTTTCCAGCTCCTTGAGATAGGGCAGTCAGAACTGTACATAGAGTTGCTATGCATGTTGCAAACTTGGCAAATTTTTGCTGGTATTATCCACATCAGCAGCACCATTTTCCTTGCCTCATCCTCCACTGCTGTCATGTTGCCACTACAGAGCTTTTTAATAATCTGTCTATTAGTTCCCCTGAACTGCCAGCTCTCATTAAAGACAGTAATTCTCTAGCCCTTTATGTTCGGGAAATATAAGGGGAAAGACATATCCCTGCAACGAAAATGGCTAGACAGTTAATTTTTAAAATTGAACTTGTTAATTGAGAGTAACTAGTGGGCTGAGTATTATAACACTGTAGCAGTATGTCAAGTTACTATTTTTTAAACAATAAAAAGCCCGGGAAAGCCCTGTGGTGGCGGGTGTGGGGTGGAGGGTCTGAGGCAAGGAAAGTATGGGGAAAATTGCTCTATGGTTGCTGCACTGCATTTGTGTCTTTATGTATGGGGTGGCGATGAAAGCTGCACAGAGAATTGTAGCTGTGGGGAAGCAGCCTCAGTCTGAATAAGTCTGCCATACATTGCAAAAAGAATGATGATACTTGGTAGCAGTGTTCCCTCTAAGCTGAGTTAGTGTGAGCTAGCTCACAGTTTTTTAGCCTCCGGCTCACACATTTTTGTCTTAGCTCAGGAAGGAAGGCTCCAGAGCAAACTAATTTATGTGGCAGCCAAATCGCTCGCTCACAACTTTAATGCCAGTAGCTCACAAAGTAGAATTTTTGCTCACAGGACTCCACAGCTTAGAGGGAACATTGCTTGGTAGTACTTAATTGCTGCAGATATTAAGCCTGAATAGGAGTTATTGAGATTGAAAACATGAGAGAGACAGGGAAGGAGAAAACAGTGGCTGTGAGGTTTGGCTGAAGCTCCTGAATCATTCAATCTCTGAGGGTCTGATGCTGGGTTGTAGAACTGTTGCCTCTGCATCTCCACCTGTACTCTACCTGTATATTTGTAAATTTATTTATTATTTAGATTTTTTAGTTGCCACTCATCTGAAGGGTCTCGTGGCGACTTTACAGCATTAAAGCCAATAAGGTAAAAAACAACATAAAACAAATAACAAATATAAAATATTAACATTAAACGATTAAAACATGTGGCTATCACCATACCACTATTAAAACAGCCCAAACATGTGGTTACCCTCCAAAGGCCAACCCAAATAATTCAGCTGTGTATGCCCTGCGGAAACTAAGCAAGTCCAGCAGGGCACAGGTGTCATCTGAGAGTACATTTCACAGGGGTAGGGGCCACAACTGAGACCATTAAGGGCTTTAAAGGTTAACACCAACACCTTGAATTGGATCCGGAGACTAATTGGTAGCCAGTGCAGCTGCCACAGAATTGGAGTAATATGAGCCGGCCATGATGTAAATAAAGGAAATGCTACAAAAACACCATGTCTCCAGTAACTCTCTCCTTCCAAACTGTTTAAGCCCTTGGAACTTCTCATCATTTAGTGTTCTAAATGTATCCATATCATAGACATACACAAGGACATTACAATGCTGGCTATTTTATTTTCAGTCTCTTTCCCCAGCTTAATTTGAGCTTGTTGGAGCTTGGGAGCTAAGCAGGGTCAGCTATGGTTAGTACTGGGATGGGAGACCACCATGGAAGACTTCTGGGCTTCCGTTGCCGCTAGAGCTAGTGCGGGGTGGGAGCAGCCATAGAAAAAGGCATTGAAGCGAGCAGGGGCTGTGGTGGGGGCAGCATCACCCAGTCTGCTCCTGCCTTTCCCTGGCATTAGATAGGGAGAAGGCAGGGCTGACTTGGCCATTAGGTAAGCCTTAAAGAATTGCTCAGGGTACCACATTTTGATGGGCACCAAAAAGGCTCCATGTGCTTTTCTCTTGGAGGCTGAAGGGGAGCCACTGTCCATTTCCCTTCCTTCTTTCCCTTCCTCTTCCTAGCCCTGCCCAAGCGTCAGCTGCCTAGGCTACTGCTGCCTGCTGCTGCTAGAAGTGGGGGTGGGGAGCAAAAGAAGTGCTAATCTGAGCAGGGGCTGTGGGAACAGCAACACCACTACTTAGTCCACTCTTGACTAGGGTTGCTAATGGGGGTGGAGTTTTCCCCACTTTCTGGGCCCCCAATCTACTGCAGACTAGCTGGCCGGCGGGGGAGCCCTGACATTACGCTGGGCATATCGTGCGGAGGATGCTCTAGCATTTGGGTAAAAACTCTATGGTTTGATTTTAGATACATGTATAAGCTCTTTTCCTCAAAATTTCTTCTCTTCAGGCATAGAACAGGCCATTTGTTTAAGAAGCAGCTACAGTGCCATCATAAACTTTAAGCAAAATCTATTTTAAAAATGTGCAATCCAGACTCTGTGAGATACAAATAACACACAGTGGGTAAAAAAATATGGAAAACCCCAGTTGTAGTTCTGGTATCTTGGAACAATTGTTTCCCTTTGTATCATATGTAGAATCAATGCAAGAATATGGTATAAGACCATATACGTTTAAGGAAATCTACATATGCTAAAAGAAAAACAAAGATAGTTCTACAGGCATATATGAAAAAATGCTGTACGATGTGACAGTACAATGTACAGTTGATAAGAGTCTTAAAAAGATCTTAGTAGTACTTTGGGATGATGTAGGGTGATTTGTACACAGATTTGTGACCAAACATCTGAACATATTCTCATGATTACTATTATACACATTTGAAATTATAGCAAATATTACACAGGTGCTCGGTGACCTCTGCCGTCCCATCCCGATGACATTGGACTTTGTAGCACAGTACAAAGGGTCCTCCACCACAAAGGGGCCATCGCTACAAAATTAGCAAGGGTCATTTGTCCAAGGGTTCTATGAGATCTTCTACTTGCTCCCTTTCTTTGGAGCCAGGCCACATTGAAATATGATTCGGAAATGTATGTCTTCCAGATACTGTTCCTTGGGAAGGGATCAAAGGTTCAGAGGTTAAGGATCACATATTTTCTGGCCGGTCTTTGGAAACTGATGCCAGGCTGCCGAAATTGTATTATGACATTGTGAAGGTTGGTCTGGAGTACAGAAAGAAGGACCGCACCATAAATCTGGAGGATATTCGCTACAACCTGCAAAATGACTTCAAGGTGAACCAGAAAGCTTCCATTCCCCTTTAGATAGTCTTGTAAATTGGCACTCTCCTGGTCTGCACTGGGAAGTAAGAATCTCTTCTGAGCCACTGGGGGTAGGGGGGAGCATTTGTGAACTGGATGAGGAACTGGTGGTGGTTCTATGCTTCTAGAAGGAACCTCCATTGTGACAAAATTGACAGGCTCTGGTATGTGTGGCTTTGCTGGCTAGTAAAGCACTTCGTGGACCAGTATATTTCATTGCTTGTTGGAGCATACCAAGGTACATAAAAGCCATTCATATAGGCTCTTTGTGGTATGAAGTCAAAGCATTGCTCTTCCATGAGTATAGACATTGCATAACTACAGCAGAATCTGTTCACTTTCTACAAATTCTGTGAACAAATTCTATGAATCAGGTTTTAAAAGAAAAATGGACTTGAGATTCTAGTTTTCATGGTTTTCAGCAGAGAGATGGAGCGAGGTACGCTGCATTTGTTCAAGCGTGCAATGGGAGGGACTTCCTGTAGTGAAATGGTTCAAAGTGACATTGACATTATGTCCTTTCAGTAAGAGGGTGGGGAGAGGGCTCATCTGCCTATTTCCATGAGTTCTTTTGGCTGCACGATTTAGTGGTTGAGGGATGTGTTTTAGGACAAAATCCACATCCTGGATGGCATTCTTCTCATTACAGGATTTGGTTGAGCCCCACAGGGAGCACCCCTGTGAACATTCCAGCACATCCAACAGTGAATCCCATCACAACATTAATATCTGCTTTCCATCCACCTCAGACTTCGGAGTCAAGACGCCAAAGCCACAAGGAGAGGAGGCGGTCCAAGTTGGTCTGTTTCCATGTTGTCATGTGTGCCTTGCTGCATAGAAAGGGAGGGACAGTTCCCTGGCAGAGACTAGAACCAGACTTGAGGGCTTTTGCGAGCACAGCAGATGAAGGGTCCATCCTTTTCTCTCCCTCTTCTTTTGCTGACTTGCTATTTCTGGCCCTTTCCTCTGTATTAGAGGGGAATTGACTGGAATGTACCTATCTGTGGAACCAGCTCAGTCCCCAGTGAACGGTGGAGAGATGCATGTGTAATATCTAGATTAGGAACACCATGAATAATCCAGCTGCTCCATCAATCAGTGCAAATAATTTAGGCTGATGATCCTATTCGTTGGTGGGTCCTCACTCAGAATATTTCAAACCTTTTTTAGAAGACCAGCCTTCTGCAATGTTTTGGGTTTTTATAGATAAAAGGAGTTTTGAATGGATAGAAAGAGAAGCTTGTTGTGCCCTCAGCTTTTTGTATTCTAGGCCTAATGCAAATTCTGTCTTGGAATTTGTATATATGTCAGCAGCTGCTTCAGCTAGTTTAATGAAAAGAAGTTAGTAGATTTGTCCTCTAGCCAGTTCATCAATATAATTTAATCAACCAAATTGAAATACATTTGTAGATTGCCAACAGTTCAACAAGGTGTGTTTCTGATATATTAGTAATGCAATCCTAAATCAAGTTACACCCTTCTATGCCAGTTGACTTCAGCAGACTTACAAGGGTGTAACTCTGTTTAGGACTGCGCTGTAGAAGAAACATGGAATATTGTCAACATTTAATAAATGAAAGCAACTGCTGGTTAATGGAAAAGTTGTTTTTTATACTCTTGTTGCCATACCCCATTGCAGCTAGCACACCAGAGGCAAAATAGGCTTACAAGACCATGCATAAACTCTGAGCCTTACCAACTAAAATTGGCCTTTATTGATTAAAATTGTTTCCTTGCTGATTGTTGAGTAACTTATCCTAGCATACATAGATAAGTATCTTTTTGGAAAGAGAGCTAATTAAACATTAGATGTGAACTTGTTTAAGAGTATTCTGACCAAAGAAAAGCTACTTTGTAAGCAGTGGTGTGTAAAGTGCTCTATTTCCACACACACACACCGCCTCCCATTTCTTCATTCCAGCTTCCTCTCAAGCTGTTTGCTATTTGGAGCAGAGGAAGGGGAAAAGCCCCACACACACACACTCTGTTCCAAACTGCTCCCTTTCCAAAGCTGTGTATTCTTTAGAAAATGGATTTTAGGGATCTGTTATATACATTTTATGAAATGTCTTAATGCTGCAATCTTGAAGTTTTATAGAAGCTGGGGAGGTTTCTGGGTAAATACGTTTAACATTGCTGCTATGCACCCAAGCATTCTATAAGAGAATATGAGTTTCACCCCATGCTTGGAGATGGGGGAGCAATAAACAGGTGTACACAACAGAGGGCTCTCTTAGACCAGTTTGCCCAAGGGTTTTATCACTAAATACAACTGTTGTCTCTGGCTGTTCTGTTAACCAAAAGAGTCTGGGTTTAAAGATGCTCAATTTTTGCTCAATTCCATTTAGTAATGCAAATACAGAAATGACATTGGCTAGAATGCTTATTTGTATTACAAATGTGACTTTTGCCTCATCTATGACAGTTCTCTTCACTGTTTGTATTTATGATGTGAATGCAAAATGTACACTAGAGAGCACTGTCTGATTTCTCATTCATGTTCAGCTGCGCACTGACAACATTAACTTGTGGTCAAAATAGCATGCGAGATATATATTTTTTTATTATTAGTGAGACCTCTTCATGTTTGGCAAACCTTTCCCTTCTGACTAATGCCTGATCTCTCAGTCAGGACCTTTACTGTGTCAAGTTGTGCTGTTTCTGCACCCGTAATCGAGGGCGCTACTTTCTCCAAGGATGAGCCTGCTGTTCAAAGAGTTAAACCAAGCCCAATTTGGGATACAGCTCCTGAACCCCAAGACGATGTCAGCAGCATGGATGAGAGCCTCTGCAGCTTTGAAATCAATGAGATCTACACATGTTATCCAAAGTTATGTGAGGGCAGCACAGAGGAAGAAGAGTCTACTGGATTGGATTCAGAATCCCCACCACCAACACAAATCACTCCAGAGGACAGGACTGGACAAGTCCCATTGCCGCCAGCCAAAACTCAGAACAGGCAGATGAGCTTTAGTGAGGAGGACAGCTCTTCAGACCCTGAAGAGCACAGCACTGAGGACTTTAGTGATGGGTCTGAGTCTTGCCTGTTTACCCAAGCAGCACTGCAGATCGATCAAACAAAGGCCAGATTGTTTAATTGGGACAGTCTGTATGGCAAGTGTGTCTCAGACCTAGAGACCTGTAAAAACTTAATGCGGCAATATTCAGATAGGATAAAGGATAAAGGAATTAGGATAAAGGAATTAGATGCTCAGGATCCCCATAAGAAGCAGCTGCCTGCAGAGAACCAAAGGCAGCAGTGCCATGTCTCATGTCCTCTTGAGGAGGTCTACTTGAAGTGTACTGAGGAGGCCTTGAGAAACATCAAGGTAGACAGTGGAGACAAAGCATTACTATGGAAGGCAGTTGGCCCTCCATCAAGGTTCTACATCCCTCCACCTCTGCGGGTCTTGGACATGCCGGGGCTATTGGGTACTCATGACTTCCAAGCAAGGGGAGATGTATGCAAGAATGAGAACAGGAGCCAAGACGCCACAGTTGGGAACAATTTTGGACTGGGTGTGGCCAACATCCCTAGAGACATAGGAGCAGCAGAATCAAACTATCAGGTAAGATGAGCAAACCAGGCCTTTACCATGTGAGAACTGTTACATGACACACACTGATACTGCTGTGGAGCACTGTGAAGGAGCCACAGAGCCCTGCCACCAGAATACTGGAGCTGGCCACAGAGATAGAAAGTGATGCTCTGGAGCACTTGGGTCAGGCCTGATTCAGGTATAGGCATGCACTTAAGAAGTTCTAGGCGTCTTCTGAGCTTTCCTATATCAGATCATTCAGCCCCTGGCAAGAGGTACCCCTTAGTATGTATTTGGTTTATTTTGAGTCTAGTACACAAGGAAAAAATTGTTAGAAAATCCTTCTTCTGTTTCATTTTGTTATTAAAACATAGTTATATTGTTAACATTGACTTAACTTAAAAGAATATGATACCATGCACTCATTCTACATTAGATAATTAGAGGAGAGTGGTTACATTAATCCCAAACATTTTATCTTACCCCAAAAGTAAACAGGTTTCATGAGTCAAGGAGTATCTTCAAAGAAGATGCTCTAGATCATTTCAGACTCCAATATTTATAAGTTTTCAAAATCATTTCCGAACAATAGCTAGCTGTCACACTTAATAAGGGTGCACATTTTTGGCTATCTAATTATCTTATAACTTTAGACACCAAACAATATTATCTGTTCTCAAATACCTTGTTAAAATACATTGGTGCTGTATTAATTCATTCTCACTATTTTTATCACAATAAAGCATATTAAAAGTAATGATTACAGGTTTCTCATACATATAATTTAAATGTTGGGCCCATATCATCTTTGAATGATATCTTGACTTCTGTATTAAGTTAGGCATTCTTGCCATTCTCAAATGCTTCTCACACCTGGACCCCAATACCTATTCTCAATTGAGATGGTTAGACTATTTCTCATCTACTAAAGGCCAAGTCTGTTTTGTTCTTGGTCTCTGGACTCCCTTTTTATCAAGTCTAGCTGAGAGTCCAGGCCAGCCCTGTTTCTGGCCTGCAAAAGCGTCCTCCGTGACCTGTTTAATGAAGGCCAGCAACTGTTCTTCTGTACTCCTGATTATATCCGTGACAGTGAGTTGATGTTACTATATTCTGTAATCCACATACTGATTGACTGAAAGGTTTTTTTTAAATTTATACTTGTAATCAGTCTTGAGTCCCAGTGAGAAAGGCAGACCTTCCCACCTCACCTGAGTGTTGTCTTTTTATAATAGTATTAGGTGGCCTCTTGCTTCCTGCTCAGGGTCCTGCTGACCATCACTTTCAAGCAGGATACTCCAGAGGACTGGGATTAGCATGGCGGTTGTCTTTTTTTGAGGGGGGGGTCACTAGGAGAACCACCACATCACACCCACAAAGCAAAAATGCAGCCCATCAACAGTCCTGTATTATAGTTTGCCAGGCACATGACAATCTCTTGTTTTGTCAGTTCTGGGCAGCCACTACAAACAAGGTTTATGGAAACCCCTAGCAGCCTACCATCCAGGCCACAGTGAAGGGCAGTGTTTGGCTTTTAGGTCCACATTTTGTACAGGCCTTTAGCATAAAGATGATGTCAATTCAGTTTGGGTTACAAAACTTTCATGGTCGCCATGGGCCTGGGTGCTAGGAAGTGCCATGGAACACCAGAGATGCAAGAGGATATCTAGATGCTTTTGTTCATCCACTGTAGCAGCACAGAAGGACTGTGGTGTTGGGGTGGAGAAAAGGTGCATATCAGAAGAAAATGGAGTGTGAAGCAGACTTTATAGATTGTCCAGGTGCCAGTTACCCTTCCTTTTTTATGTGAGAGTGGTTTTCAAACTGTATTCCTAGGAAACCTAGCAGGGATTCCTCGATGAGAGAAGCAGTAATGAGAGACAAGCTTTGTTTGCAAAAATCCCTACCACAGATCTTCCAGTGCTAAGTGAAGTTGCCACGGAAGCATTGAGGCATCTTAGTGAGCACGCCCAATTTATTACGGGAGGGGAAGTACATTTTAATGGTGTTCCCACATGAACTGAACATGTGCCCCACATCATGGCCCAGAACTCTCTGGAACACGCAGAGGTTCTGTGGCAGATTTGCTGGGCTTTCTTGGCAAACAGGTCGATGCGGAAGGTTTTTCCCAAAGGCAAAAAAAAGCTTTAAAAAATTATTGTGATTGGGTTATAGAATGCAAATGATAGATCACAGGATGAGGCAATGGAAAGTTAAACCCAATGCCTGTCAGCTAGTGTTGAGCCATGATTGGCTGGAATTATTTTTCAGCTCCTGTACCCAAGTGTGTCCACCAGGACGGAAAGAATGGCAAGCACACAGGCAGTTCAAGTGAGTGAGCCAAGCTCTTCAAGGGATGGAATCAAAGAGGTGATGAGGCGAGTATTTTTAGCCATGCTGCATCCAAGATAGTGGGAGAAATCAGGTGTCGTTGGCAGTGGGAAGGCGATGGCACTTAATTTAAGCTTCAAAGGACTCAGCTCCCAGACCTACTGTTAAATATTTATTATTATTTAATTAATTAATTTATATCTCGCCCTCCCTGCTAGGTAGGGTTGCCAAGTCTTACCTGCTGTTGGAGTGGGGGACTCCCGGCTTCTTCCTAGAGCACGCGCCCCCCGCAACCATGTCACCCAGAAGTGACACGACCACGCCGGCACGCTGGGGGCGGGGCCACGACCATCCGAGGGAAAACCATAGAGTTTTCCCTTGGATGACCGTGGCCCCGCCCCCAGCGTGCCCAGCGTGGTCGCGTCACTTCCGGATGACGTGCACGTCGGGTGCTTTGGGGGTGGGGTTCCCCCCGGGGCCTGATTCGCCGGCGGCGGGGAACGGGCCTCTGGGGCAGGGGTTTCCCCACCCCCTGGGGGGACTTGGCAAGCCTACTGCTAGGGTAGGCTCAGGGTGGCTTACATATAGAGTATATAAAACAGCTAAAACAAAAATTAAATAAAATCACAAGAATATAATTATAAAACATACATAATGTAAAGTGCTAGTGCAATTCGTACATGATGGCAGGCATTAGCAGCATCCATAGACGTGCTGTCAATTAACACCATAGTCTGGGTTGTATCAAGCTGTTAATAATGATGGTAATATTGAGGCCAGGGCCTCACTTTATTGAGCGTGGCTCCCTCGTCGAAGGCCTGGTGGAAGAGCTCCGTCTTGCAGGCCCTGCAGAACTGTAAAGTGTCCCACAGGGCCCTGATGTCCTCCGGGAGCTCGTTTCACCAGTACGGAGCTGCCACTGAGAAGGCCCTGGCCCACAGCCAGCCTGGCTTCTCTGGGGCTCGGAAGGGCCAAACGCTTTTGGGACCCTGATCGTAGCGCTCTTTGGGGAATATGCGGGGAAAGGCGGTCCCTTAAGTATGTAGGTCCCTGACCATATAGGGCTTTAAAGGTAAGAACCAGCACCTTGAATTGAATTCGGTATGCTATAGGCAGTCAGTGCAGTGCTTTTAGCGCAGGCTGGATGTGCTTCTGCATAGGAAGACCCAATAACAGCCTGGCTGCTGCATTCTGCACCAGCTGCGGTTTCTGGATTTGGGACAAGGGCAGCCCCATGTAGAGAGCATTACAGTAATCCAATCTCGAGGTGACTGTAGCATGGATCACTGTTGCCAGGTCATTGCATTCGAGGAAGGGAACCAACTGTCTAATCAGCTGGAGATGATAGAAAGCTGACTTTGCAGTGGCCGCTACCTGGGCCTCCATTGTTAAGGAGGCATCCAGGAGCACTCCCAGACTCCTACCCTCCAGCACTGGCACCAACAGCGCCTCATCGAAGGTCGGGAGTGGGATCCCTGCACTTGGACTGCTCCAACTCAGGCACAGAACCTCCATCTTTGTCTGTTTCAATTTCAGTCGACTCAGTCTAAGCCAACTAGCCACAGCTTTCAACGCCAGGTCCAGATCTTCCAGGCTAGAGTCAGATTGGCTGCCCAACAACAGATAGAGCTGGCTGTCATCCACATATTGGTGACACCCTAGCTCATGCCTCCGGGCAATCTGGGCAAGCGGGTGCATATAGATATTTGTTTTTCTTTAAGAAGAAGAGATTGGATTTATACCCCGCCCTTCACTTGAAGTCTCAGAGCGGCTTACAAACTCCTTTCCCTTCTCCTCCCCACAACAGGCACCCTGTGAG